TTGATCCATTGGCCAAAAAGTATTACCTAGAATAAATTATGCTGAACATTCTGTTTTCCTGAAATGGTGTCAGGCGTAATATAAGACTGCAGGTTGATAAACTAGCTTGAATGCCAATATCTGTAGTGTTAGCTTCACTGAATATGGAAAAAAAGGTTTTGGCATGGTTCAAATCATTTCTAGTTCAAGTATTGAGGGATTTTATTTCCTGTAGAATGCTTTATTTAGTTTATGATTTTTATCTTTTGTTAATGTAATTACCAATTAAATGATTTCACCAGTAATGAAAATGCAGCGTGAAACATATCAAGAATGTCCTTCATCTCCTAATTTTTGCATGCCTGATGAGACAAACTCATGAACTTAAAATAATTTATTTGGCTGAGTTTGATAGTATGCAAATCATTTTAATGATTATTACTAAACTTTACCTAAATGTATAAAACCAACACAGTTATCTGTTAAATATTTTATTTATACAATAAATTGGGGTAATTCAAATATTATGTGAACCGGAAAAAAATATTCTGATGGTTATAGAGAAATGAAGGTGTTTAATAGAATCAGGTCATTATGCAAAATATAAAATATCCAATTTAGTGGCCAAAAACCTTTCAAAATGTATTACCTAAAGAATATTAAGAGGTAGCTGAAGATACCTTCATTAATGTACATTGAGAGATTATGCAAGACAAATTCCTTATGTGTCAAATCACACTTGTCCAATAAATAATTCTATTCTATTCTGTTCTGTTCTGTTTTGAAAATGAATTTTGTATCAAGATTCATATACTGTATATTATGATAGCAGTTTTTGTATTTGTTCCACTTAAAGAAAAACCTTTAAAGCAAAGGAAATCTGAAGTAAGATCATAAGCATAGTTACATTTTCACTTAGCAACTGCTTCACTTAATGACTGAATTGCAGGTCCCAACTACGGTCACTAACAAGGACTACATGTATACTTTGCTACATATGTTATGGGTAACCATATGTAAATCCTTGTACATTAGATATTATTACTAAAGAGAACCCACAGGATTTAATTGTTTTAATGTAGCTGCTCTTTCTTTACTTACCTCTGGGTACTGGACAAAAAAAAAAAAAATATTTTTGGGAAGGCAATTTTGTGGATTTATGGTTTCCTGATTGGATACTTACATTATTTTATTTTATTTTAATGTTGAGATTATCTTAAACTACAGTTACTGAGGCGTCATTCCAAGAGAAATAGATGAGTTGTTCCCAGTCGTGGGATTCAGCCAGTTCGCACCACTTCGGGAGAACCGGTTGTTAACTTTCTGAGTAGTTTGGCACACTGGTTGTTGGAAGAAATCATTAGGGCAGAGAACCAGTTGTTAAATTACCTGAATCCCACCACTGGTTTTTCCCCGACAAAAGCAGAGACAAATCTGATTTCAGGAATTTTTGCCAGAGATTCCTCTTTCCATGTGATAATTTTGGCAGCCCTTACCTCACTACTGTCAGAGATTCAATGTCAGAAGGTAAAAGGAAAAGGGAAAACCAAAAGTTGGTGAGATGTAAATCTGGGGTCGCTGAGATGCTTCAGTATAAATCACAAAGACAAATCAGATAAAAAGCATGTCACAACTCACAAATTCAAATCTTTCATATTTGCCTACTGACTTGAGTGCATGCCCACAAGCCATGTGATTAATAATATGCCTCATTAGCTGCAGAAGGAGGTGCATGCAAACTATACTTCTTACATTTCTTAATTATTTCCTGTATATTTTAGTAAATTGAATTCCCTACTATTGTAAATGAATTCTTTCCTATTGACATTAATGTAAGTCAATCTATACTGTAAGCTAAAAGCAAAACATTGAAAGGAAAATAATGTAGCAGTGGTTTATTTTCTCTCTTTTATTGTGCAGACAGATTCTCAGTTCTCATAGATTCGAAACATCAAGGCAGGTAAGCCTAAACTTTATCCACAGTAGTGGCCAAAATTGTGGAAATCTTTTGGGAAAAGTGTATTTTCTAAAACTAGCTAATAACACCACTTTCTTTTTTTGAGTAGTACCATAAAAATATATATCAATGGAAAGATAATTTAATCAAGAATGTAATGCAATAACTTTTATGAAGGATTTGCTATTAGAATAGCACCTACAGTATAAAGAAGAAAAGTGAAACAAGTAGGAAAAACGAGATATACAAAAATTATCATCATGTCAGTTAATAGTTGGGTAACCTTTAGCATGAATTACAGTCTTACAATGTCTTCCATGGAGTGAACCAAGTCTTTTAGTTCTGCAGCTGTTATAATGTGAAACCAAGATTGAATGATTGCTTCTATTAACTTTGTTTTATTGCTGGGTCGCTTCTAACTACAAGTTTCTTTAGTCAGCTCCATAGATTTTTCAATTGGGTTAAGATTTGGCCTATACCTAGGCCATTCCAGTAGTGAAATATGATTATCTTGAAACTCCCAAAAATATTGGTGTTATTAGCCATCAAACCTCAAAAATATACTTTTCTCAAAAGGTTTTCACAATTTTGGCCACTACTGTATAGAAAAAATATTTAGTAGATAATATTCTTCAATCAAGGTATGTGGGTAAGTATGCCCATCTGGGATTGTTAATATGTTTTCATTGAATCTTATTCATTCATCCATCCATCCATCCATCCATCCATCCATCCATCCATCTCCTACTCTTTTAATTTTTTACAAATAAGGCAGGAAACAGTCTATATTATCCAGTAATAATTATGAGAACTTAATTGAAAATCCGGGCCCTATATATTATCTGTATTTATCTTCTGTTTAAGGCTGTGTAACAGCTCCTTAATATGTGAGATCACTTGAAAAGATTCAAGATGTCACTGCTGTGACTATGCTTTTGCTCGTATCTCTTCTAATTATAGAATCATATCTCTTCTAATTATAGAATTATAGAGCCAAGGTGGCTCTATAATTGGTTAGAGTGGTTAGAGTGCAGTGGTTAGAGTGCAGTACTGCAGGCTACTTCAGCTGACTGCTAGCTGCAGTTCAGCAGTTCAAATGTCACCAGCTCAAGGTTGACTCAGCCTTCCATATTTCCAAGGTAGGTAAAATGAGGAGCCAGATTGTTGGGGCAGTATGCTGACTCTGTAAACCACTTACAGAAGGCTGTAAAGCACTGTGAAGTGGTACATAAGTCTAAGTGCTAGACTTAGTGCTAGATATTGTCCTACCTCAGTCTTGAAATCTTCTGATTCTGTCTCCTCAACACAATAATCAGTTTTATTTTATCCTGAAGTTACAAAGACAATGCGTCTCAACAAAGCAGAAAATCACAATTGACAGCCAAATATTACCATTGATTATTACCATGTGTTTATGTGTCTAGGAAAGGGTGCACTCAACAAGTAATGCCAGACAAATCAGTTTTATTTTGAACAACCTGTTTCAAATGAAAGTGGAAATTTGTGTCTTGAGAGTAACCAACAATAGGTATCATTTCACTTTCAATTAGCTCCAGAGCAATTGTATGTGAGAAGCAGCATTGAATAAAAGATAAATTCTCAATATTACAACTTTCACTGGCAAGTGTGGCCTACAAAAGCACAGCCAGAACAGTAGCTTAATCTCTTTTAATCAATCTTTCAAACATCTGAAACTAAATTAATTCTGAACATCCAGTTTAGATCAGATGGCTTGCTTAGGACTATTAGCCCTACAATTTGATACAATATGCTTGTTTTCCCATAAAGAAATAACAATGCTTGGTTCATCAAATAGTAATACAAAGATTGCCATCTATCTAAAGAGAAATTGCACAGTCACAATCATCTCAAATCCGGCTCATTCATAGCTTTGTTTTGTTTTGTTTTACCTTTTTTTAAAATCCAGCTGCAGAAAGGTTGATTGAGTTCCATGGAATTTAACAAACTCAACAAGATTAACCTGTGCACAGGACTGCGTCTATCACTGCATATATTTTAATGAATAACCGTAATTTGGCGAACACTGGCAAACATTAATTTGAAAACTAGCAATATTACCTAGGACTTGGATAATATAATCTCCAAAAAGTGATTCAGAGGAAGCATGTTCTCAGCAACCTCTTAACGCAAGTATGGAAACCTGGGGAAAAGGAGCGGCTGTTTTATAATGCTGCAAACAGATGCAGTGCTTGCTTATTGGAGTCCGAATTGAAAATGCTGCACAACATCAATATTTATATTTTGTTTTGCTTTGGTCTTTCTGACTATGACATATGATTGCATCCCCACTGACTTATGGCCTCCCAAGGAAAATGTCACGGCAACAGCAAGACCAACCTTGCCCTGACACCATCCGGAAAAGAAACAGCTCTGTCCTTCCCAGATGCTGCGTTATTGACAAGTTGCTCTAAGTTAGAGAGCCAAGAGGAATGCATTCTGGCTTCATCCATCAGGAAATACCAATTGTTATTCCACAAGCATGTCACCAAGGGATGGTAGCCAAGCTGGAGCTGCCAAAGGGTAGCTTATAGATGACCACTGCATTCTGGCCTTAGAGAAGTCTCCCCTTCCTTTTGTTCTCCCCACACTTTAAGTTTTATGTTTTTTTTTAAAAAAAATTCATTTTTATCTTCTGAGATTTTAATTGCTGTGCGTCATTCTAGAAAATAATTATTGTCTGAAATGTAGGATTTTTTTAAAAAAGGACATAAGGCAAATGGGTTATCAATATGAGAGAGACCAGTATCTTGGATCATGCATTAGATGAACAAACTATTGGGACCCTCATATTGAATTGAAAACTTTATTTGACCAACTGTAATTAGATACACAAGGTGTTTGTCTCCAGTGAAGAAGCTCTCCCTGTATTAGAACTACATATTCATGTGCAGTCAAAACCAGTGGTGGGTTCTACTTACCTTTACTACCGGTTCGCAATGGGAATGTGCACGCTGAAGCTTCTGTGCATGCGCAGATCATCAATTATGACGTCTGGGTGGGTGGGCGGAGCCTTCCACCGCTTTTACTACCAGTTCTAAAGAACTGGACAGAACCGGGAGCAATCCACCACTGGCCGAAACCCAAAAATCACAGACAACACAGTCCTTTATTTCAATAAAACAGTCTGGCTGAGATCTACACATTTGGGACTCACTGGGGTAAATTGTAGGGGTGACATTGTATTCCTTGTTTATCCCTTTTTATTTAATTTGTTTCTTGTACTTCACTTTTACATGTAGTTCTATTGTGGCATGTTTTATGTTTTATTCTGAATATTTTATTTTGTATTTTGGTATGGCCTATGTGCTAATCCGTAACAAAAAAGGAAAGGGTTATCAATATGTCTCCTAGATGGGGGATTGTTTAATTATGCCATTTCAGTGACTTGGTTCACCTCTGTTTTTCAGTACTTCTAAACATGTCATGCCTTCCATTTTAGATATTTGTCATCTCATAAAATCTGAATCTCTAGCAAGAGCAAGTTTTATGAAGAAACCCTCCATGTGGCTTCAGATAATTTTAACCATGTGACTTCAAGGAAACCAACAGTCCATAGAGTTCACTAAACACTTCAGACTAATGGCTTACACAAAGTGATTGTGTTATTACAGATAATCAACAGGACTATCAGTCAGAGGTGCTACTTCAATATGTAAAAATTCATTAAGATGCCCATAAAAATTAATTGGAAATGTTCTATTTCCTTCAATCATCATTTTAATCTTAGCCATTTTAATGGATCCGCCTTAGGTCTGCTCCCTGGGAGATAAATGTCAATTTTTTTACAGTGATGTGAAAGTACTTTCGTGTACTGTATACTCATGTATAATCTATAAATAAATAAATAAGATTTATAATCTATCACATTATAAGGGAGTCAGTTCGGTATAATTTTATAATCTATAAATCCTGGAAAAAGAGCTAGTTTGGTGTAATGGCTATGGTGCTCAGCTAGAAACCAGGAGATTGTGAATTCCAGTCCTGCTTTAGCCATGAAGGCCAATTGGGTGACTTTGGGCCAGTCACTCTCTCTCAGCCCACCCCACCCCACAGGGTTGTTGTTGAAAGGCAAATCGGAGGGAAGATTGGGTATGGTTACACTGTAAACTAAAAATGAAAAAAAAAATAGGATAAAAATCTAATGAATGGTAATCAGTGATGTCGTCAAAGGAAATAATCAAAACTCATGTAGTGCAGATTTATTTATTTATTCAATTTCTATAGCTGCCCATCTTAGTCAATGACTCTGGGCATTTGACAATTAAAAATATATGTATTACAGATGTCACTAAATCACAAACCCTACTGGACATAATATGTTATTAGATTATTTCCTCAGGAAAGGCTTCTTGTCAGGCCTAAAGTTAATGATTAACAGAATACTCTACTTGTTTGTATCTGGGACTGGACTGGATTAAAAATGAATATATATTTTTTGGGGCAGGGAAACCTTCTGTTTTGACTACATTTGAAATACATGAAGCACTAATTAAAGTTGACTTTCTCTGAGTTTTTAAAATCAGTATCTTAAATATAGGTGGGGAAGAAGCGGGAGATAGCAACATTTGGAAAATTTCAGCCTCTTTTTCCAAAAGTCAAATTCATGTCTTTGCAGTTTTGCCAATTTAACTACCCTCCCTTCACATACACAAACACACAAAACTACCTCCAACTCTCAAGCAAACAAGTTTAAAAATGAAGCTGCAACTGAAGACACCTTCACAACAATGGCAGACTTGTGCAAAGAGTGTCTTGTAAGGCACGGTCAATTAAGTCTAGGCAGGTCCACAGCAGCTGTTCTAGACATGCCCAGAAGATAATCTACAAGAGTTAAGTTCTGTTACTTAAGAAAAGGGGCACTGGCTTCAGAAAGACTGGACCAATCTATTCATAAACCAAATACCTTCAGCCACAAGCTTCTACAGAAGGCTGGATGGGATTAAAAAGAAGAAAAACAAAGACTCCGAAAATCTACATTCCCCCACTCAAATTCTAAGGACAGGACAGGACCTTTAAGACATAACAGGATTTATCCACCACCATTAGAATAGCAAAAGACACAAGGCTCACTACATTGCACAACCCCCTGGAGCATCTCAATCTCAAAACACCATAACTCTGTAAAAATCCACTCACCCAGCCAATTCATCAGCCACCCCAGAAACATTCTGCTGTTCCTAAAGTTTCTGGAATCCAAATAAATGGAGACTTTCTTTCCATGCGGCCTGCCTCCATTTTATTTTCAGCCTCTTTCTCCTGGCTTGGAACCGAACAAGATTTTACTTCCAACAATTGAAAATTGACTCCTAAGCCTACAAGTAATGATCTCACACTTCTGAGCCATGCAATCATGGAGTTATATAGGTAATCCCCAACCACAATTGAGCCCAAAATTTCCTTTACTAAGCAAGACAGTTGTTAAGTGAATTGTGTCCCTTTTTCCAAACATTTTGCCACAATTGTTAAGTGAATCACTGCAGATATCAAGTGAATCGTGTGATTGTCAACTGAATCTGGCTTCCCTCTTTGACTTTGCTTTTCAGAGATGCCGGTTGGGAAGATTACAAATGGTGAGCACATGATGTCAGGACAGTGAAACTGTCATAAATATATAACAGTTGACAAGCACCTGAATTTTGATCACATGACAATGCATGCAGGATTCGTCATAAGTCACTTTGTTCAGTGCTGTTGTAACTCCAAATGTTACTAAACAAATGGTTGTAAATTGAGGACTACCTGGTCCTGCCTTATTATAGTAGGTTTTGCATTAAGTCTGAAGATCAAGAAAAATATACTTCAGAAATATATACTTAATATTATAATTATAATTATATTCAGAAAATATACTTAATTTTAATAAACCCAGAATCCCAATTTTATTTTATTTTGCATTATTTTAGAAACTGCAAAGCCTTAAAATATTAACATGACAGTGATTCTGAGAGACAGTATGATAAAAACCCTTCATCATTGTCTAATGGCTTATGCGTGTGACCAAGAAGAAGCTGATGGGTTCATTGAAATTACTCATTAAAATGCTTCTGCTGTAGATTTTCCAGACCCCAGGCCCTTTAGATCAACATACATATTTTTACGGCAAGCTGGATAAATTAAGGCTCAGAGAAAACACTTGTATTGAAATGACAACCTTCATATGTTGAGGATGACACTAATCCACTTTCTGTGATGAGGCTGAATTGCCTGTTACTTTAAAGAAGAAAAGTCAAACAGTTAGTCTGATCAGCTATAGGAAGATGTTGATCTTCTCACATTGAATTTTAAAATAATATTTTGCTTCCTAGCTTTTTCCTGCAAGTGTAAGGGTTTTTGTTTTGTTTTGTTTTGTTTTGTTTGTATCAAATGAGTGTTGATCAGTTGTGACAGGAATTGACCCACTGGTCACTTCACTATTGCAACATCTGAATTATCTCTGCCCAGCTGCAGACCTATAATTAAACCTTATGCACACAAGGATTTAAAGGTTTTAATTTTTTTAAACTAAATTTCATTCTTTTTTTTTAAAAAAAAACCACCTTTGCTCACTTATGTTCATTTTTTATCATTGCTTGTTAGAAGGGTTTTGTGTGAATTTCCAGTTTAGAATAGAGTAGAGTAGAGTAGAGTAGAGTAGAGTAGAGCAGAGCAGAGTAGTAGAATAGAATAGAATAGAATAGAATAGAATAGAATAGAATAGAATAGAATAGAATAGAATAGAACAGAACAGAACAGAACAGAACAGAACAGAACAGAACAGAATAGAATAGAATTTTTTATTGGCAAGTGTGATTGGACACACAAGGAATTTTTCTTGGTGCATACACTCTCAGTGTACATAAAAGAAAAGATATGTTCATCAAGAATCATAAGGTATAACACTTAATGATAGTCATAGGGTACAAATAAGCAATCAGGAAACAATATCAATATAAAGCGTAAGGATACAAGTAACAAAGTTACAGTCATACAGTCATAAACTGTAGATGGGTGGTGGGAACGATGAGAAGATTAATAGTAGTGCAGACTTAGTAAATAGTTTGACAGTGTTGAGGGAATTATTTGTTTAGCAGAGTGATGGCGTTCAGGAAAAAACTGTCCTTGTGTCTAGTTGTTCTGGTGTGCAGTGCTCTATAGCGTCGTTTTGAGGGTAGGAGTTGAAACAATTTATGTCCAGGATGTGAGGGGTCTGTAAATATTTTCACAGCCCTCTTTTTGAGTCGTGCAGTATACAGGTCCTCAATGGAAGGCAGGTTGGTAGCAATTGTTTTTTCTGCAGTTCTAATTATCCTCTGAAGTCTGTGTCTGTCTTGTTGGGTTGCAGAACCAAACCAGACAGTTATAGAGGTGCAGATGACAGACTCAATAATTCCTCTGTAGAACTGTATCAGCAGCTCCTTGGGCAGTTTGAGCTTTCTGAGTTGGCGCAGAAAGAACATTCTTTGTTGTGCTTTTTTGATGATGTTTTTGATGTTAGCTGTCCATTTTAGATCTTGCGATATGGTAGAACCTAGAAATTTGAAGGTCTCTACTGTTGATACTGTGTTGTCTAGTATTGTGAGAGATGGAAGTATGGAAGGGTTTCTCCTAAAGTCTACCACCATTTCTACGGTTTTGAGTGTGTTCAGTTCCAGATTGTTCCGGTTGCACCATGAGGCTAGTTGTTCAACATACTCCCATCTGTATGCGGATTCATCATTGTCTCGAATGAGACCCATCACTGTTGTGTCATCTGCGAACCTCAGTAGTTTAACAGATGGATCGTTAGAGATACAGCTATTGGTAAACAGAGAGAAGTGGGGAGAGCACAAAGCCTTGGAGGCCCCTGTGCTAATTGTACAGGTATCTGATGTGATTCTGCTTAGCTTCACCTGCTGCTTCCTGTTTGTTAGGAAGCTTATGATCCACTTACAAGTGTGTTCAGGTACCTGTAGCTGGTTTAGCTTAGTTAGAAGAGTGTCTGGAACGATGGTATTGAATGCTGAACTAAAGTCTACAAAGAGGACCCTTGTGTAGGTCTTTGGAGATTCAAGATGTTGTAGGATGTAGTGCAGAGCCATATTAAAAGCATCATCTGTTGATCTATTTACTTGGTATGCAAATTGCAAGGGGTCTAAAAGCGGATCCGTGATGATTTTCAAGTGGGACAGCATTAGCCTTTCAAAGGTTTTCATGACTACAGATGTTAGAGCAACTGGTCTGTAGTCATTCAGTTCCTTGATGGTGGGCTTCTTCGGCACTGGGATGATAGTAGAGCATTTGCAGCAAGAAGGAACATAGCATATTTCTAGCGGTTTATTGAAGATATGGGTGAAGACGGGGGCCAATTGGTCAGCACAGACTTTTAAGCAAGAAGGAATTATCTTGTCTGGGCCTGGAGCTTTTCCTGGCTTTTGTCTGTGAAATAGGTCTTGCACTTCCTTTTCTGTGATCATTAGGGGTTGTGAGCCCAATGGGATGGGGTCAGTGGTAGGAGGCTTGGCTGTTGTTGGTGTGTCTGAGATGTGGGTTGTAGATATAGGTGACTGTAGTTTCCTTTCAAACCTGCAGTAAAACATGTTCAGGTCATCTGCCAGTTGTTGATTTCCTTCAGCCTGGGAAGGAGGTTTGCTGTAGCCGGTGATATTTTTAAGAGTTTTCCACATGTTTGCTGGTTCCTTTGTTGATAACTGATTCTTTAGCTTTTCAGAATAGCTTCTTTTTGCTGCTCTGATCTCCCTTGTTAATACATTTCTGGCCTGATTGTACAGCATTTTATCACCTTTTCTGTAGGTTTCCTCTTTGGAACTAACATAGCTGCTTACGTTTAGCTGTGAACCAAGGTTTGTTGTTACTGTATATTCGCAAGTTCCTGGTCAATACACATAGGTCT